CATTTAATCGCAAACATTCTAATTAGTGACAAAACTGTCTAGGACATCCAGCGACTGATGTGTCCCACGGCGGAGTTCACTCAGCTGTCATTGGTGCCGGTCTGCCGGCAGGCGAATAATGCAATGAAATGTACTGGAATCATATTGGCGGATCCGACAGTCTCGCTGGTGGCAGAAGCTGGTTTTCGAGAATTAACGGAATTGACGAAATCGATGCTTGGTGCTCTAGGTGTAATGGACGTTTTGTTGAAGGCATATCTCGCAGCTGCTGGAAATTAGGAAACGAAAAGTAGTAGCAACGATGACTGCGGTTTTGCTAAAAAATTAATGGTGGCCAGCAAGAAAGAAAGTAAAAGAAAGAAAAAAGCACAAGCAATAAAGAAAATAAAAACAAGAAAGTGAAGTGGGAAACCCGCCACACGTAAGAGACGTCCCTACTCATAAAGCTGATGCTTAGACAAAGAAAGCCGAAAGAAAATAAGGTGAAACTAACGCTTAGATAAAGCCACGAGATCCCAGCTTTACCTAAGCAACAGCTTCATAAACACGGAAGCTTTACCTAAGCATCAGCAAATAGATCCCTGAGCTTTACTTAGGCATCAGCAGTTTGGTTCCCCAGCTCTACCTAAGCTTCAGCTCCATACGAAAGTTTTGCCTAAGCATCAGCTTCATAAGAAAGGAAGCATTATCAGCAAAGGGCTTTCCCATTTATGAAGCTGACGCTTAGATAAAGCTTCCGTGCTTATGAAGCTGATGCTTAGGTAAAGCTTTTATGCGTTTTTTGCAGCAATGCAATGCAAAAAACGCATATTGACGAGAGGTTGTCTGTGTGTCTGTGTGTGCGTCTGTCGCACTTTCATCTCCGGACCTATAAAAGCTGCGGGACTCGGAATTTCGGGAACTTAATCTGCATGCACGTACCGCTCCCAATCCCCAAAATGGGCGCCAAAACCCGCATGGTACCCGATTTCGGGAACTTATCTGCATGCACGTACCGCCCCCAATCCCCAAAATGGGCGCCAAAACCCGCGTGGTACCCGCGTACGGGACACTCCCTTTCATCTCCGGACCTATAAAAGCTGTGGGGTTGAAATTTCGGGAACTTAATCTACATGCACGTACCAAATCCCCAAAATGGGCGCCAAAACCCGCGTGGTACCCGCGTACGGGCCCCTCAAAGTTTTTTCGGGATCAGCTCATAACTCGAGGATCTGAGAAGCTAGAAGGCTGAAATTTTAGGGGAACGTTCCCCGTCCAAGCAGGTGCTGATGAGCTCAAATCCAGCCCCCGGGTAAACGTGGTACCCGCGTACGAGCCTGCCAAAGTTTTTCGAGTAAGTTCATGAATCGG